CCCCCGGAAGACCCGGCCGAGATGCTGGCGGAAAACCTCGTGGAGGAGTTTGAGATGAAGGAGGACGAGCCGTGGTACGACCACCAGGACCTCCAGCAAGGTGAGGGCGAGGTCGCCCCCGGGAGCCGGCGACCTGGCGGGGGAGACTTGTGGTGCGAAACTGTTGGAGAGTTGCTTTTGCTCGCGGCCGACTACGCCGGTGCCGCGAGGGTCTCGGGCTCACCTGGCGCCGGGGGCGGCCGCCCTCCTCCCCCGCCCGCTGGAAGCCTTTGCGCGGGGCCTGCGGCCCTGCCGCTGCGCAGCACCGACCCTCATCCCGAGAGCCCGCTGAGGGCCAGCCACGCGCCCTCAGCGTGTTAAGCGCTCTCCCTCGATTCACTGATTTCCTTGAAACCGCCTTCCTCCGAGGCAGAGAGGGGTGAGCCGGCGGGCAGCCGCCGTGAGTGGCAGAGCCGAGGAAGCCGTCTCTTAGCAGGCTGCGTTCCCCGCCGCCTCCCCTCCTGCGCGTAGTCACAGCGCCTTTAATGGCCCGCGTTGGGGGTGAGCTGCCGTAGGTGGTGGTGGTTTTGCTGTGTGGCAGGAGCTGTGCCAAGCTCTCTGCCTACCTGCTCTCGTTTAATCCGCGCCATAGCTCCGTAAGAGTGACGTTTGTGATCCCATTTTCCAGATGCGAAAAGCAGAAGCCAGAACAGTTAGTGACTTGGCCTAAAGCTAAGTGTGGAAGCAAGTGTTTTTGAACCCACACACTCAGAATGAGGAGTCGTAGACACTGCACGGACCGAGCTCTTCCTTACCATACCAGTGTACAGCTTTTTCAGTTGGGCGTTAAACTTTATTTTTTAAATGGCTTATGCTCAGTTCAACAGATGCCACATGAAATGACATGAGTGCCCTTCTGCCTCCACCACTTCCTTCAACTGGCACACCAGTTTTTGTTTAAAAACAGACCTGCCTTGGATTCGATGCTGATGGTGTCTCCAGAGAACAATTCTAGAGCAGCCCTTAATGTGGAGCCAGTGGCAAAACCCCCCACCTTTTTTTTTGTTTTGTTTTTGCTTGTTAAAGCAGGAGCTTGCATTTGGGGAGCACTTTTTATGTGCCAGACATTCAGAGCCCCTTAACACAATTTCTCATTGAATCCTCCCAGTAGCACTATTGAGATAGAGGTAGATACTGTTGGGGAAACTAGAGTTTCCCTTTAGACTCGAAAGCAAACATTCTTAACCACTCTACTGAATAATCCTTAGAAAGTTTTCCAGGCATCTTCAGTTTCTGCATTCTGTGTAAATAAATTATTTCAGCTCTAAATTTGAAGTGAAAATTAACATCTCATTTAGTTGAATATTAAGTGGTCATGATGCTTGTTCATGCTAACCACTAGGAATAAATGTAGACTTGGATGATTATACTTAGAAAAGGAAAATAGAGCAAACACCTCTTTTAGGGGAAAGTGATTTCTTAAGTTAATGTGCAGTCAAAGTAGTTCACCATTATGCTTATATAGTGCAAGCTGTTTGGCAGCTGCAGTGCAGAATTTACCCCCATGCTATGTCCAAAAGACAAATTTGTCATATGTTTTAACAAACCTGTTTTCAGGTTTCCCCATAAGGATTGATGGCTTAGTTTGATACTTCCTCCAGGATTTATGAGGCAACCACCATGCAATTACAACATTTAAACAAACTGTATAATCGAAAGCTTAAATATCTTTCTTTCCTGTATTTAAGAAGAATGCATCTTTAAGGGCATAGACGGCAGGCTCTTTTTTGTATCTTTGGCATCTAGCATAATACTTGGCAAGGGACTAGAAGTTCTATTTTAATATTTGTTGAAGTGAACTGTTCACATAGGATTACAGTTTTCATGGCTCTCTTCATCAGGTGGCTTAGTCCATGCTGTTACTTCTCCCTTGGGAGGATGTTAGAAACAACCATGCAAGGTTGATTGATTATACAATTTTCTTTCACCTCCGATCAAAATGAAGTCATCAGATCTTCAAGTTTAGCAAACCTTAAGAAAAACACAGGTCTGAGCCTCTTTATTGCCAATTTGCATTCGGAATTTGTTCTATGACTTTCAAAGGGCTTTTACATCCATTATCATAATGGACTTTGACATAACCCTCTGTAATAGCAAACTATGTGGGGTAGAAATAGAGATGTGAAATTCCAACAGTTAAAACTTTTGAATAAGTGTGTAAAAGAATGAAATCTGCATTGCGAACAAAAGGATCTCTTTTCCCCAACTTTGTTAAATTATATGTTAAAGAGTTCCTAAACAAACCGAACATATCTTAAAACATTTATTTCTCAAATTTATCTGTTTTGTGCCAGGTATTCATCTAGGCACTGGGGCCATAGTGCCTACCCACATGCCAGAATGGCAGGATTCCTACACTATTGGAATTGATTTTCTAGGAATCTCCTCACTAGAGAAGCCTGGAGGTGCCTCATATGATATGGGCCCACTACAGTGTCTGACACATTGTGGACCCTCAGTAGATATTTACTGCTGAAGAAAGTGGGAGCAAGTCTGTCTTGTTAAACAGATTATTAATCAGGTCTAATGGGATTTTAATCATGTGTAGACATCTGGCTGCTTTTTAACATCCTTACTATTAACTTACTGAGCAAGGCATATTTGGAAAGAGCTGCTTAAAACAACTTTTATAGATCCTGTTCTCCAAGTCTTACAACTACTAAATTTTTTTCTTTAGCAATAGAAGCCACTATCTAGATTGAATCTATGTATCCAACTTTGCTTGGGCATTTTTTTACAAATTTAAATTGCTGGACTCTGGTCTACTATTCATACTTTGCTAGAAACATGTAAAGCTGTGTGTAGATTGGTGAAAACCCTTTGCTTTAACAAAACACTTTGTTGAAGAGACTCTTTTGTCAGAGGGCTGAGTTGGCATGGTGGGAATACTGACAATAATCTCTGTGGGTAAGATCTTTTCTGGGACAGCAGGAGCCTTCAGTGCAGGTAATAATGGTGCTTGCTTTGAAATGTGCCCCTGAGAACAAGGTGGAAAGACTTCAGAGGCTGGATTTCCTTTTAGACTCGCTGCTGTTATAATTGTCGTTTGGTGAGTGGTGCAAGCTTAGAATAAGGATTTGGGTCTCTGCTATATGGATCAGCAAATGAAATCTTAGTTTAAAGGAATCCTAAAATTTCTTTTCAAGATGAGTACCTCCTTGTGTGCAACTAATTTGCTGAATCACTGTTTGAGCGGGTTGTTATACTGACACCATCACTTTTCTTGATGTTTATATTCAGGCTTTTGCTTTCCCAATTATGGGTAACGTTGGCAACAGGAGTTAAACAGCATCACCAAGTGACGCATTTGACTTTGTATAGGAAAAGCTTTCAGCCTTAATGTTATTGAATTACTGCAGCAGACTACAGCCAGCATGAGAATATGTTGTCCTCATATTTCTTTTGAAAAGACTGAAGTAAAATAGGAAAAAAAATATAATAACAATGGGATTTCAAGGTTTCAAAATTCTGGAAGAAAGTTCCTTGTAAAAAAAATCACTCAGCCGCTAGTGCTAATTTTTTGCCTAAGGTATAGGCTGAGTGAATATCTGTTTAAAGCTAACAGTTTACAGCATTAAAAATAGATTATTATTACCTGCAAAGACTCATTAGTAAAAGAATATTAAACATATGAAGGTCTTGGCATGTTGCAATTCTCAAGCCTGCAATAAATCTATGGTATTTTTAGTGGCTGCCTACGCCAGGCCAGTTCAATAGGATTTAGAAAAGACAACTTCTTAATGTGAATCATTATTGTAATCCTTATAGAGATGAACAGGTGTGCAAAGCTTTAAAACTGTATTGTTTCCTTTTTTGTACCTTAATTAAAAATATAAATAAAGGACACTCAATATTCTCCTATTCTTTCCACTAATTATTTAGAAAACCTTCTTGGGCTTACTGCCAGCTTTTGGCTCCTTTTGGTTATGGAAGCCAGATGCTACACAACAGGAAACAAACTTTTTTTAAAGACCAAAAAGTCCTGGTGTCTTTAAGCTAACAGATGAAGTCATATCCTATTATACAGTGTGACTTCACAGGAGCCTTCTTGTATTTGAGACTTGACTTGCTAAAATTCTATCCTAAACATCCTATGAAATATTTAGGAGTCTGAAACTTCAGGTTACTTAGCCAGGTTGGGGCTTTGTTTAACTGGAAATAAGAATTGCGATAAGGAAGTCTCAAATTCTTTTTTGCTTGCTACTTAACTAAAAAGTACAGTTCTTAGCATCTCTTTCTGCAACAGCTGCAACAGGAAAGATGTTTCTGGCTACTGCTAAGTAGCATAGGTGGTTTCATAACTCAGTCATGATGATGGTCTTAAGTCAAGTCTTGATTCTGGTAGAGATTTTGGCTCAGGTTTTGATTGCTAGTTAAGACTTCTTTTTTTTTTTTATTTTTTTTTGGAGTTGGAGTCTTACTCTGTCGCCCAGCCTGGAGTGTAGTGGCACGCTCCCGGCCACTGCAGCCTCCACCTGCTGGGCTCTGGCGATCCTTCCACCTCAGCCTTCCAAGTAGCTGTAACTACAGGCGTGCGCTACCACGCCCAGCTAATTTTTGATTTATTGTAGAGATGAGGTCTTGCCAAGTTGCCCGGGCCGGTCTCGAACCCACAGGGTCAGGCAATTCACTCACAAGTTTTCCTGGAACATCTTCGGTCATACATAGTTCCTTTTTCATTTGGTAGAAACAAGATGTTAACTTGCCTGGGGTTGTATGTGTTTTCACCGGTAGAGCTGGAGAGTAAAAAACAGTAGAACTTTAGTTTTTCATTGCTATCCATGAAAACAAGTGGAAAAGATTATCTCAACTCGGGGGAAATGTATATTCACTAACTTAAAGAAGTATGTGAACATCCCTTTCAGTAGTCTCAAAACTGTGCACATGAGGATAATAAAGAATCGTGATGAGAGTTAGAACCTGTTGACCTAGTAGTTTCTGTCTTGTCTGTGATGCACAATGTAGTTTTGATCAGGTGAGTTAACAGCTTTGTGCTTCAGGTTGTCTCTTCTGAAAAACTGGGTTAAATACTTTGTAAAGATATAAAGACTGCCGGGCTCG